AGGCCAAGGACCAGCCATGGACAGGCCAAGGACCAGCCATGGACAGGCCAAGGACCGGCCAAGGACCAGCCAAGAACCTGCCAAGGACCTGCCGAGGACCCATCAAGGAAAGTGGGGAAATTTTGAATGGCTACTACTGTATGTTGACATCATAAGAAGGGGCAGGGCCCCGAGCAGATCTTACCACTGGAGCAGTTCTGGTACCTGCAACGGCTCTCGCTGTGAAAAGATGGCCCTCTACTAGACAACGCTGAAAAGTATATTCAACATTGTGTTCTTCCACCGGCTCAACAAAATGCCTCTGCTCTAAGGTCTTTGTTGGATCCAGGAAGCTCAGCAGTTCGGCCACTCCTCACCAAGAGGTATCAAGGCAGTGGTGGGCGGTGCATACGGTACCCAGGCCTTCAGTGGGCACCATTCAACTTAACCAATAATATTCAAATATGAAATGTAATCAAGCGCAGGTATAAAACAGACAAAGATTAGCGTGCGGGTGAATACAGAGATCAATTTAGCAAGAAGCCCAGTTAAGACAACAGCAATCCTCTACTCTATAACCACAGCTCTGCCATATTTCCATCATCATCAGCTGTTCCGATTCAATTTGCATCTAATTAAGTTAAAATAGAGCATAAAGCATGACATTAAAATGTATCACACCCACCAGAGATACTAATTACTTCAAAACTAAATCCATCCTTCTGTCTTTGTGCAGGAAGTCTTCCGCTTATCCGGGGCCTGGTCACGGAGGCAGCAGTCCAAGCAGAGATACCCAGACTTCCCGATCCACACACACCTCCTCTAGCTGCTCTGGAGGGACCCCCAAGGCGACACCAGGCCAGCTCAAAGACAGTCCCTCCAGTGTGTCCTGGGACTTCCAAGAGGCCTCCTTCCAATGGGGTATGCCTGGAACACATCCCCAGAGAGGCGACCAAGAGGCATCTGAAACAGACGCCCGAGCCTCCTCAGCTGGCTCCTTTCAATATCGAGGAGCAGCAACATTCGGACACCCACCTAAAATGGCGTAAACACTAAAAAGTGCACTATTTAGGCGTTTGGACACAGCCATTGTCTCCATTGCGCTTCTCTACTTCACTCCCATCCTGGTTCAGTTGCTGGGAAGAAAAAATAGATTACTTGTTGGCTTTAGATCCCCCATTTCTAGCGCCTGTCACACCTTGACGATTTAGACCAGCGTATACCTGACGTGGGAAAATCTGGCAAACCGATGGCATGCGTTGGGATACGTTAAGGGTACATTTTGTATGAGCACACTGAAACATGCCGAAACATTCTGTCACACCTCTGCATACGGCGAGTACTTCGATAAATCCACATCATGTTACACGTACCTTGGTTATGGCCTCCACCACTGAATCTGGGAGCGGACCACTGTTTCCGATACACGTCATGCAACCGTAGCCAACGACTTCAAAGCTATTAGGAGACAAAAGACCTGTTAAAGCAAAATACACAAATCCTACGGTATGAAACACTGCTTGTAGAACGCGTAAAGCCGGGCATACGCTGTGCAATATTTTCAATCGTTGCACGCAGCTGCAGCTAAAACTGTACAAGAAAACTCAAGGTTTAAAAGTTCACAGCTCACGATGTTTGTTCTCACACTGTGCGGCGCGACGCTCTGATGCGATCTACCTGCTCACTGTAGGTCTAAAAAACACACGTCGGACTCAGCGCCGACAGATGGCGCCGGTCGGACATGTCTATCTGGTAGAAGGAGAGGAAGAACTCCCTTGTTTGCACATGCGCAGTGCTCGAGGTTCTGGTAAATCGGCTTGTAGAGCTGACTCAACAGCAGGACAAGGACACCTTACGACGGCTGACTGAATTTCAAACATGTTTGATTTTCTCCCGACCTTACGATTCCTGATAGGGACATGGTCGTTAGAGGCTAATTGCCCCTTGTTACCCCCTGTATGCTACACGATGCGGGACGCACAATCAGGCTGAAACCGGGCCTAACTGAAAAAATTCTTGCACGACTGGAAAATCGTCCCGAAAGGGTAAAAAATCGTACAGTGTATGCCCGGCTTAAACCAACCAGCATGCGCGAGTATAAGTGAGAAATCAGAGTGGCGAGAAGCTCACCCCAGCTGAAAGAGGTAGTCCATAACGCCACTCTCCTTCAGGTAGTAGGTCACTACTCCGCTGCCGGGGGACAGGCTGGTCTTTATGTACGGCTTCACACTAAGACCACGGCTCACTGCTTTCTTTGCTAGGAGTCCTGCAGCAACAGATTATATCAGGAGTTTTGCATTCGGAAAATGGGTTATATTATCAAATACAGCCATGAAATAATTTGCAGTTGGAATAAGCACCTGCTCCGAGCATGACGGACGGGTTGCTGGTGTTGGTGCAGCTGGTGATTGCAGCAATGACCACCGAGCCGTGACTCAGCGTATACTCCTTCTCGTTGAATCGGAAGGGGATGGCAGCGCCGTGGTGTTCGGGGGCCACCTGGAAACCTTTAAATCCTTGCTAACAAGAACAAAAAAAGGGAACAACTGAGAACATTTTGCAAAAACAAACTTATGGTATAATCAACATTTTATCCTGTCTCAGGAATGTAAACAAAATAAATTTGTAACATTGAATTTGATACTTTAGATTAATTGATCATTTACGCTTAAAAGGAGTCTCTATCACTGTTCATTCATAAGCAAAGCCTCGCCTGTATTGGCTACAGATGTAATGCCAGAGGGAGACATGCTCAATCAATGGCTATTTCTCAATATGTGTGCGTTCTCATGTGTTTGTGAAACGTCATCAGCCTAATGCAACGTTCAGACCACAAGCAGCAGAGGCAGCAGAAGCAGCTAGCTTACATGCAAAGTCAATGGTCTAATCTAGAGCAGCTGAAGCAGTTCCTAAAGTGACACGCTTCATAAGCAGCAGCTGCTAGAGTTCAGCTACGTTCAGTCTGCAAGCAGCAGGAGCAGCAAAAACGCGCGTACTGCTTAATTTCTGATGCTTGTATTTAATGAGTTATGGTTAGTAATAAGTAACTTTATTACCATAATTATATCTTTTATGGAAACCCAGATGTATATTATATATGGCTATATACTATATATTGTATACAGTATATTATGTGTTTTATATTGTATATATCTAGAGATTCTGGTTATATGTATCTAATTTGTCTGCACCATCAACACCAAGTCAAATTCCTTGTAAGTGCAAACCTTCTTGGCAATAAATCGGATAAATCTGATTTCTGGTTGCGCAGGCCCAAATGAGCTGATGGTCAGGATCATACTCCCAGTGTTCTGTCCGAGCAGCATACCAGAGATGGGGACTCGAGTTTGTGACTCGTACTCGAGTCGCACTTAAGGCGCATATTTAATGACTTTAGACTCGACTTAGACTTGCATTTGAAGCACTTCAGACTTGACTCAGACTCGTGATTTCTGACTTTTTTGATCGCCGCTCGCCTTACCCGCACACAGCAGAGGTAAAAAAAAAAAAAAAAAGGCAGAGGGGCTGCACTGACGTCACTGACGCAACGCTGGGTGACATATATGCCCGCGCGCCCGTGCGCATGCATGCATGATCGACAAGACAAGCTTTAAAAACTTCATGGCAGTAATAGAGGAGAAATATGTTGTGAATAATGTTGTGAATTGGCACTAAATAAATAAACTGAATTGAATTTAAAATACTGCC